TTTTTTTTTTTTTTTTTTTTTTTTTTTTTTTTTTTTTTTTTTTTTTCCCCTCCTGGAAATGGCCTGCTTCTTCACTACCTCAGGCTAAGGGCTCTTTTCCCCTCTAGCTTTCTTCCTACCCTGGCTTTGCAGCCTGTCAGAATAGTGGACAGCTTCAGAACTCACCTCTAATCCTGGCTTGAGTTTGGCCCTAGAACCGTTTGGGGTCTCTGTGGGTGTCAGACTCTTGACAAACAGCTGTTGGCTCTGTGACTTGTTTGAACCCCCAGCACGAGGCTCTGGTTCCCAGTCTTCCGTTTTTTGACCTTTTGAAGGGAGACCAGACTAGGGTCTTAAGTCTGGAACCCCGAGGGGATTGACAGCTGTGACCTGATTCAGCTTTCAAGTGCTTAACTCTTTTGTTACAACAGATCTTTTTACACCTCCCACCGAGAGGTGCTGACTCCGTTTAGGGTGGAGGAAATAGGGGTCAAAAGGTAAAGAGACAATTAACCTCCTGGCTCAGTGAACTGGACGGAAAGGTGGGATCCCAGGTAGCAGGCTGTGGAAATGTCTGAGGTCTCCTGTCCTCAGAAAGGGATAAGCAGGGTGTCTTCCTACCGTAGTGAGTGTCAGGCCGGGTGAGTGGTCTGCTCTCCTTGCTAGAGGGGAGACCAACAATGGCCATCATGTCTGGCTTCAGTAGAAGCAAAATGTACAGGCTTAGTTTGTAAGTCGGCTTGCCCTGCCTCTCCTTTTTGCCCTTTTAAGACACCAGTATGTATGGAAACCTGGTCCTTTATCATGGCCCCCCAAGAAATACATTGTTGTGTCACTTAGAGCCTCAAAGGGATGTTTGTTTTCTTGCCTTGAGCTCTATATAAACCTTGCAGATTTTACTGTTGGTTGGGGACGAGGTGGCCAGATATCAGGGTGTCCTGCAGTGCCAGTGTTGGGGTGCAGCTACAATTCAGGAGTGCTAGAGTCCTCTGTATATAGACAAGACATACCTGCCCCCTGGCTTCCAGGAACTCACGGGGAAGAAATAGCAGGTGGTAGAGAATCGGCCTGCCATCCCTGCCTTCCTTTCCCTCCTTCCCCAGTACATACAGGCGGAACCACCGACCAACAAGTCCCTGTCGAGCCTGGTTGTGCAGTTGCTCCAGTTTCAGGAAGAGGTTTTTGGCAAGCATGTCAGCAACGCACCCCTTACCAAACTGCCGGTGAGTGCAAAGGGAGGGGATGAGGCCTCCCAACTGGAAGGGGAGTTTTTTATTCTTTTGCTTTTTATTTTTTTCCCCTACGTGCATGTAATCCCAGAATTAGGGAAGTTGAGGCAGGAGAATCAAAAGTTGGAGGCTAGCCTGACCCACATAGCAGTTCAGATGGTGTGTGCCATATTGTGAGACCCTGTCTCAAAAGAAAAACAAAAATAAAACCCACTTTTTTAAAACAAATTTCATAATTTTAGTAGATTTATTTCCTACAGCAAGTCTCCACTAGTGGTCAGGGCATTAGGGCTTAAACTAGCCTCAGTTGACTATTCCTGTTATTTTTGAAAAAGCATGCAATCTCAGACTGTTGGGGTTCAGTCCTCCGGTGTCTCTTTCCTGCTGCCCTCTTAAAAGGGGATGACGTTTTGGGAGCAGGAGAGATGGCTCGGTGGTTAAGAGCACTTGCAGAGGACCTGGGTTTGGTTTCCAGTACCCATGTGGTGGTTTACGGCCTCCTGATTCTCCATCATGGGCACTCACTCACGTGATGCACACACAAGGCAAAACACACATACACATAAATCTGAAAAAAGTCAAATAGAGTGAGGTTTGAGACCAGGCATGGCGGCACACATCTGATATACCCACCACTTAGAAGCCTGAGTCACAGCCAGTCATGGTGGTGCACGACTTTAATCCTGGCACTCTGGAGACAGAGGCAGGCGGATCTCTATGAGTGGTAGAACTACCTGGTCTACAAAGAGAAACCCTGTCTTGAAAAACCAAAAAACAAAAAACAAAAAAAAGCAAAAAGAAGAATAAACCTGGGTCGGCTGAGTCAGGAAGCCTACAGACAGAGCTAAAGCTCTGTTGAGCGTGTACCTAGCCCCGAATTGTGTCTGCAGTGCCACAAAGGGGGTGGCTCCTTCAGCTACCCACATGCTGGAAGGAGAGACCTTCAGGAGGACACATGGACACAATAAATTAATACGTGCAATCCCTGAGAATGGGCAATGAGATTTGAATTTGCATAAACTTGTGTTTAGTCCTGGTTCTGTCCCATGACGGCTGTGGGGCAACCTTTATGAGTCTTAATAATTTCATCTCTCCATGAATTTGATAGCCTACTTTGTAGCATTTCATCAGTAGTACATGAGGTAATCCGATAGAATGCTTGGTTCAAAATGACATTTTGAAAATGAATATTGGTTTCTTTTCTAACTTTCTCCAGGTCACGTGGTGGTGCAATGACGTGGGTTTAATGCCTTTAATCCCAGAGCTCGGGAGATAGAGGCAGAGGAATTGCTGCAAAGCTCCAGCCTAACTTGGTCTACGTGTGGGTTTTAGGCCAGCCAGGGCTACATAGTGAGACACTGTCTTAAACACAAGCAAATGGCAGGGTGGCACACACCTTTGATCCTAGCACTCAGGAGGCAGAGGCAGGCAGAGCTCTGTGAATTGGAGGCAGCCTGGTATACAAATCAAGTTCCAGGACAGCCAGGGCTGTTACACAGAGAAACCTTGTCTTGAAAAAAAAAACAAAAAGAAAAAAGGAAAAACAAGCAAACAAAATAAAACATGAGAGGGAGATCAGTTCAGAGTGGAATTTTTGTTGCAGGATTTTTATGTGACAAAAAAAATACACAGTGTAACCTTCACACCTCTCCCTGTCTCAATTTCCAGATCAAATGTTTCCTAGATTTCAAAGCAGGAGGATCCCTGTGCCACATTCTTGCAGCTGCCTACAAATTCAAGAGTGACCAGGGATGGTGAGATGCCTTCTCTCTGCTCTTTCATTTAGTTTAGAGATAAATTCCCCTTACTTTCTGGGGTCCTTCTGAAGTGAGAGAACACATTAGAAATGCTACATGTCTTTTATTTTGGTAGGTCAGAAAAATAGCTGTCACAGCCAGAACAGTTCTCAAGAACGAGGGAGGGGTGTGAAGTCTGAGAAGAGGCCTCTTAGGTGGACATCTCAAACTTTGTCCTTTTGGATTAGACAGAGTGATTTATGCAGTTGAGACCAGGAATCCTTCGTTCCCTTTGATTTGGGCAAAATTTGTGACAAGATTACCTCCTAATTTCCCTTGGTAAGAAGTTACGTACTAAACAGGGTGATGGTGCCCACCTTTAATCCCAGCACTCAAGAGGCAGAGGCAGGTGGATCTCTGTAAGTTCAAAGCCAGCCTGGTCTACAGAGCAAGTTTCAGGATAGCCGGGGATGTTACACAGAGAAACTCTATCTCAAACAGACAAATAAACAAAAAAGACAAAAGTTATGTACTGTCAAGACTAAAGACATAGCTCAGTGGTGGTTAAGTGCTCTGCCTGCTCTTCCAGAGGACATGGTCCCATTCCCACATGGCTGCTCACAACCTTCTGTAACCCCAGTTCCAGGGGATTCAATGACCTTTTCTGGCCTCCTCAGACACATGGTACATACAAGCAGGCAAAGCAGCCATACATGTAAAATAAAAATATAAATTAAAGAGAGAAAATCCTTCACCCTCTCCTTTCCCCAGACAAAGAATATAACTGACTAGGTTACTGTCCCTTTACAAGGCGGCGTTACGATTTCCAGAACCCATCCCGCATGGACCGCAACGTGGAAATGTTCATGACCATTGAGAAGTCCTTGGTGCAGGTAAAATTCCAGCACACACCCTCTCCATTTCCCTCTCCACAGTGAGAACATAAAACAGCCTTTCCTCATCTCAGCTACTTCTTCTCCTCACAGAATAATTGCCTGTCTCGACCTAACATTTTCCTGTGCCCAGAGATTGAGCCCAAACTGCTAGGGAAATTAAAAGACATTGTTAAGAGACACCAGGTGAGTATGAGGGAGGCCGGTAAGTCAGAGGCTTCTGAACTCCTGACTGGTTTACACATTGTTACCATGGTTACACTGTCTTCCTCCATGACTGATGGTGTCTTCCATCAGGAAACAGCTTGTGGCACGTTTTCCTCTGTACTGTGGCCCTGTCTACTCAGTGGAAAGCTAGCGTCTTTGAGTGGCGCTTGTCCCGTTTGCTCCAGTGCCCAGGCTTGACAGAGTTGTCACTGCTCCCCTTGGCTGCATCGTCATGGTTGAAGGAGAACACCTTCCACTGAACGTGCCATATCTGATTTCTGATAAATGCAGCCTTGGGATCAGGTGCAGTGATATGCCCTGGCACATGGGAAGTAGCAGCACAAGGATCAAAAGTTCAAAGTCATACTTGTCAACATAGTATGTTCAGGCCTGCCTAGACTATAGAGTGATATTGTTAAAACAGCCTCAACAAAATCTCTATTTTCTGGCACTTTTTTTTTTGAGTGCTTGGAACTAGTTTTTAATAAGAAGCAGATATTATGGATAGGCAGATATAGTCCACTTTAAATTTCCCATGGGTGCATGTGGTGGTGGCGCACACTTTAATCCCAGAACTCAGGAGGCAGAGGCAGGCGGATCTCTGTGAGTTTGAGGCCAGCCTGATCTACAGAGCGACTTCCAGGACAGCTAGGGCTGTTACTCAGAGAAACCCTGTCTCGAAAAACAAAAAAGTAAAAACAAAAACAAATTCCAATGGGTAGGGCTGCGAGATGGCTCTCAGTGTGTGTTATGCAGGCATGAAGACCTGGGTCTGGATCCTCAGAACATGTGAAACCTGGGTGTTGTGGTTCAGACCAATACCTCCAATGCTGGGAGGTAGAAACGAGCACATCCTGGGGCTCGTCAACCAACTCACATAGCTGAGATGTCAAATCTGGGTGCACTGTCTCAGAAATACGGTGGAGAGTAATAAAGGACACTTGTTGACCCAAGCCTCTGCACATGCCACACCTCTCCCCTGCAGATCCTGTGCAGAGGGCTGTCTGTGGGGACAGCTCTCCCCTGCAGGTCCTGTGCAGAGGGCTGTCTGGGGGACATGTAGTTCTTTGGCGTTTCTCCGATGCGAGCACATCATTGCCACTGTGATTCTGTGCCACTTAGTTGGTATTGCTAGGAAATACAAACGGATTTAATACCCCCGCATGAAAGATGTCATTAGAGAGGTAAATCTGCGATTTCATTTTAATTCTTTGATTTATTCCTGAGAGTAATTGAAAAGGCAGTCGATTTACCTGCGCTTTCTTGTGCTGTCTGTCCAGGGAACTGTTACTGAGGACAAGAGCAATGCCTCCCATGTTGTGTATCCTGTCCCAGGGAACCTAGAAGAAGGTGAGACCCACTTTCTCGTCCTCTGCTACAGTGGCTTGGGCTAGTGGATGAAGGGCAGCTTAGTTCACTGTACGCCACCTGAGGCTCTGAGCGTTGCAACCCTGCGTCTCCTGCCAGAACAGGAGACTGCTCAGTGCTGTTGTCTGGTCGGTCTTTGTGCTTCTTTCCAGCTGACCTCTCTCTTCTTTGACTCTATCCTCAGAGGAATGGGTACGGCCAGTTATGAAGAGAGACAAGCAAGTTCTTCTGCACTGGGGCTACTACCCTGACAGGTGAGGATGGGTTCTCAGGGTAGTCGGGAGAAGCAGCAGCAGCCAGACACAGAAGCCATCTGGCAGAGCAAGAAGCACTGTTTATGGGTTGTTTATTTCCTTGTTTTGGTTTTTCTAAGTACAGAATTTTGCTATGTAATCCAGGCTGGCATCAAACTTACTGTGTAGCTCAGACTGGCCTCAAACTTGTAGCAATCCTCCTGTCTCGGCCTCCTCAGTGCTGGTATTAAAGGCTTGCGCCATCACACTGACTTTGTGTGTGTTCCCTTTTTCTTTGATTTTTTTAGATTTTTTTAAATTTTACTTTATGTGTATAAATGTTTTGCCTGCATGTATGTTTGTGAACCATGTGTGTGCCTAGTACCTAGAGAGGTCAGAAGAGAGCATCGGATTCTCTGGAACTGGAGTTACAGATGTTGTGAGCCGCCTTATGGGTAGTAGGAGCCAAACTTAGGTTCTCTGCAGGAGCAGCCATTGCTCTTAAATGCTTAGCCATCTCTCTAGCCACTGCTTTTTGGTTTGGTGTTTGTTTTGAGACCAGGTCATTCTACCAAGCTGGTCTAGAACTCATGCCTCAGCCTCCTTGGTGCTTGTGTTACCAACAAACACCACCATGCCCGGTTCCTGGTATTTGTTTTGTTTTAGGACAGGATTCTACTAATGTAATTTTGGCTGACCTGGGACTCACCAAGTAGATCAGGCTAACCTTGAACTCACAGAGATCTGTGTGCCTCTGCCTCCCGGGTTTAAAGGCATGTACCGCCACTCCAAATGTTTTTAATGTGTGTTTCTACTCTGTGTGTGTGCGTGCACATGTATGTGTGGGGGTGATCCTAGGTCATCCTCAGGTCATCCTCAGGAATGCTGTCCATTTCCTCTGAGACAGGGTTTCTCATTGGCCTGGAACTCACCAATTGGTGTAGAATGGATTGTTTGTTTAATTTTATGTTTATGAGTGTTTTGTCTGCATTTATGTATGTGCACCACACACATGCCTGGTGCCTACAGATTCTCTTGAACTGCAATTACAGACAGTTGTGAGCCGTAATGTGGGTGCTAGGAACTGGTCCTGGGTCCTCTGCCAGAGCAACAGTTGCTCTTAACTGCTGAACCATCTCCTCAGCACCATGCCCAGAACTTTCATATAGGTTCTGGGATAGAATTCAGGTCTTTAATCTTGCTGTCTGTGTCATTCCCTGGGTCAATTTATTTTCCTTTTTATCATACATGCATACATATTTGTTTAAGACAGGGTCTCACTTATAGTCAGGGCTAACCTGACTTGCTTTGTAACCAAACTGACTTTGAACTCACAAAGATCCACCAGCCTCTCCCTTCTAAGTGCTGGGATTAAAGGATTGCTCTACCACATCTGGCCTTCTCTTTATTACTTGTGTGTGTGTGTGTGTGTGTGTGTGTGTGCACACGCACGCACGCTTGCTTGCTTGCATGTATACAGATACACATCTGGAAGTCAGGACTGGGAGTCAGTGCTTTCACTCCATGTTGGGTTTCTGGGATCCAGCTCATGTCTTCAGACTTGTGTGGTAAACATTTGTACCCACTGAGCCATTCTGCGGTCTGACGTCTGTAGATTGTCACTCTCACCTGTGATCTCAACACTTGAGAAGCCAAAGACTTCAAAGTCATCCTTGATTTTCTGAGAAGTTTAGGGCAGCCTAAGCTATGTGAAATCGTGTCTCAAAACAAAAGTTAAAACAGTGTAATAGTAAAGAAATGAATGTTTCTGAAGATGTATGTAATTACCCTGGGCTACTCTGCAGCCTTTAAAGTGATATACTATGCATAGTTTGTAGGCAAATTTAAGTGAGACATGCTGGTTAGCATCTATAGTTTCAGATGCCCAGAAGGTAGAGACAGGAGAGTCACTTGAACCTAGGACTTCTAATCCCTCGAGGAAACACAGTATGACCTCCCTTTCAGGGGTTTAAAAAAAAAGCATATAAGATTAAGAGAAAATTATTGTAAAAAGTTAGCCAAAGAAAACAAATACAAAGTATAATGTAATTGTAATTATTTTGTTGTTGTTGTTTTTCGAGACAGGATTTCTTTGTGTAGCCCTGGCTGTCCTGGAACTCACTCTGCAGACCAAACTGACCTCAAACTCACAGAGCTCCACTTGCCTCTGCCTACCGAGTGCTGGCATTAAAGGAGTGTGCCATCACTTCCAGGCATAATTGTAATGATTTTTGAAGGAGTGGTATGAGCTGACGCAGGTACCCAAGACATACTGTGTAACCAGGCTGGCCTTAGACTCAAGGGAATCCTCTGTCTCAGATTCTCACAGTTGCCTATGTTAGAGTATTTTCATACTTTTTTTTAAAGCTTTTTTTTTTCCTTCTGTGTTTTTGTTCGTTGGTTGGTTTTCTATTTGGGTTTTTGAGACTGAGTCTCACTGTGCTCCTTAGGCTGGCCTTGAACTTGCACCTGTTTTTCTGCCTCAACTCCCGAGTGTGGGGATAATAGGCAAAAGTCACCACGCCCAACTGCTTGAAATATTTTATAATATACTTTTATTGCTTTGTGGTAAAAAGAATCTCAATTTAATTGGGCAAATCAACAGCTGAATATTTTTTGTAAATGGAAAAGGCAGGACTGGGTGTATAATTCAGTGGTAGGGGCCCAGGGTTTCATCATCTTTGTGCAGTGGGGAAAAAGAGAGAGAGAAAGAAAAGTGCAAGGCTGCACTCGGTTCCCATCTCTCCATCCTGTTGTCTCGACTTCATGCTGAATCTCTTCCGGCAGTTACGATACGTGGATCCCAGCTAGTGAAATTGAAGCATCTGTGGAAGATGCTCCAACACCTGAGAAACCTCGGAAGGTGAGCCTTACTACCTTCCACCCCTGGAGTAACACCCTGCATTAGCGCTCTCTGTAGGGACAGGGGCTCTGTGCACTTGGGCTTGTGTTGAGTCTCTAGACAGAGCCCTGGCTTCTGGTAACTCCCCATATGATCTGCCTTTGCACTTCAGATTCACGCCAAGTGGATCCTCGACACAGACACCTTCAATGAGTGGATGAATGAGGAAGACTATGAAGTCAATGACGACAAAAGCCCTGTTTCCCGACGGAAGAAGATCTCGGCGAAGACGCTGACAGATGAGGTGAAATTCTGCTTGTTTTTCTTGAGCACTTAACTTAAACCTCAGAACAGGCCTCACTGGGAGCTGGAGGCTGACATTTATCCCAGTTCTCTGATGTGTAGGTAAACAGCCCCGATTCAGACAGACGGGACAAGAAGGGGGGAAACTATAAGAAGAGGAAGCGCTCTCCGTCTCCTTCGCCGACCCCAGAAGCTAAGAAGAAGAATGCTAAGAAAGGGTATGCGATCCCTCGCCAGCGCCCACAGGCACTGTCTACATGGTGCATGCCAAAGGAAAGACATGCTTCTTGCAGTCACTGCCCCTGGTTGGGTGTCTGAGAGGACGGGGAGGGAATCTTCACATGCCTGCTTGATGGTGGTAGTCCCTACACTGAAGGAAGTCTTCTGTACCACCCCATCACTCTGCGGACCACTCTGTTCCACCCAGCTCTGCCCTGATGCTCTCTCTCTCCTCTCCTTCCCAGACCCTCAACACCTTACACCAAGTCAAAGCGAGGCCACAGAGAAGAGGAGCAGGAAGAGCTGACGAAAGACATGGATGAGCCCTCGCCAGTCCCAAACGTAGAAGAGGTGACACTCCCCAAAGCAGGTATGGCCAACACCCACTCTTCCCCATCCCTGCTGTGCCAAGCTCCTGAAAGGGTGGGTTCTCCAGATCTAAAGTAGCTTTCCCTTCTGCAGAGCTGGTCAGTGAAATTAGCATTACCCTGAGAAATCCTCTTGCTTGGTATCCATGTCTGATCCTTCCAGCTGAGGGCAGTTGTCTGCACACTTCCTGTTTTCCTCTTCTGGGGATCGAACCTAGGACCTCCTGGGTACTAGCAAATGCTCTACCACAGACCTACAGCCCTAGTTCTCCAAATCCTTTTGTGTATGTGCACACACATACAAGCATATAGAGGCTGTGCTCACCTTCAGGTGTCGTTCCTCAGGAGCCTCTGCCTTGTTATTTAACATTTATTTACATTGTGTGTGTGTGTGTGAGAGAGAGAGAGAGAGAGAGAGAGAGAGAGAGAGAGAAGAGAGAGAGAGAGAGAGAGAGAGAGAGAGAGAGAGAGAGAGAGAGAGAGAGAACTTGCCACAGTGCATATGTGGAGGTCAGAAGACAGCTGTGGGGTTGGTTCTCTCCTTTCACTGTGTGCTCCAGGGACTGGCAGTAAGTACCATTACCCACTGTACTATCTTGCCTCTACCTTGTGTTTTGAGACCTGGGTCTTCAGGATCAGGCTAGTCTGCTTTTCTCTGCTTCCCAATGCTGTGATTGTAAGGTCATGCCACCATGCCTGTGCCTGGCCCTGTACATGGGTTCTAAGGACTAATCAGGTCTTCAGGCACTTTACTGACTGAGCTATCGCTCTAACCTAATAGCTTTGATTATTCATTCCTATCAATAAGATACATTTCAAAAGGGGCTGGAGTGATGGCTCAGCCGTTAAGAGCACTGGCTGTTTTTCCAGAGTTCAGTTCCTAGCACCCACATGACAGCTTACAACTGACTGTAATTCTAGTTCCAGAGGATCCAGCACCCTTATACAGACATACGTGTAGGCGAACATCAATGCAAATAAATAAATCATTAAATATGTGTATACATGTGTATATATATATTTCAAGGTAAATTATGCAAATTATACTATAAAAACATTACTTTAGGCCATTATAAAGCTTATGCAAACATTATCATAAAAAAATGGAGTGGGGTGGGAGCTGGACATTTGGCTCAGTGTTTAAGAGCTGAGCCCTTGCAGAGGCCCCTGGTTTGATTCCTGGCTCCCATAGTGATGGTTCACAACTGTCTAATTCCAGTCCCATGGGACCCAGCACCCTCTTCTGGCACTGCTGCAGGAGGAGCACATTCTAGCAAAAGCACTCCTACACATAGAAATACATCTCAAAAGTTATTTACTTTTTGTTTTTGTTTTTCAAGACAGGGTTTCTTTGTGTAGCCCTTACTGTCCTGGAGCTCACTTTGTAGACCAGGCTGGCCTCGAACTAACAGATATCCGCCTGCCTCTGCCTCCCAAGTGCTGGGTTTAAAGGCTTGCGCTACCACCACCTGGCCTATCTTTTTTTTTTTTTAATTCTTTTAGCAAATTTATTTATCTATTTCACATCCCAGTGCAGTTTCTCCTCCCTCTTCTCCTCACAGTGTCCATTTTGTGGTCATCCCCCCCCCCCCATCACGTGCTTCGACTTATTCTCCACCAGTCCTTGCTGGTCTATCTCGGGTTGCCCTTTTTTTTCTTTTTTTTTTTTTTTTTTTTTTTTTTTTTTTTTTTTTGATTCTTTCAGCAGAGTTTTGTAGTTTTTGTTATGATGTCAATCCTGTACATCCTGTTNTAAAGAACTCTAGACTAAGGTATTTAAAAAATTTGAATTTTTTAAAAAGAAAAACATTGGGGGTAAAAAAATGGCTCGGCAATTAAGAGTACATGCTGCTCTTAGAGGATCTGGAGTTCCCAGTACCCACATCAGATGGGTTACATTAAATAAAAACTCTCCAGGGAACCCAATGCTCTCTTCTGGCTTCCAGGAGCACCTTTACACATGTTCACACATGTACACATGTTACACATGGTCACATGTCACACATGGTCACACACATTGCACATGTTCACATACACACATGCCCACACATACGCATGTTACGTGTGGTCACATGCACATGTTACACGTGTTCACATACATGCACATGTACACATATAGCTATAAAGCTTTTTTTTTTTTTTTTGGTTTTTCGGGACAGGGTTTCTCTGTGGCTTTGGAGCCTGTCCTGGAACTAGCTCTGTAGACCAGGCTGGTCTCGAACCCACAGAGATCCGCCTGCCTCTGCCTCCCGAGTGCTGGGATTAAAGGCGTGCGCCACCACCGCCCGTCTAAAGCAAATATTTTTTAAAAAAGAAAAACATAAAGGGCAGCAGGAATAACTAAAGAGAAACCCTGCATTTCTTCTGTAGTCGGAGGTGACAGCTGCCGCGCTGTATGAAGGTCCCATATAGAGACCACTGTACTCCAGTACTGGCTTGCAGTCTCTGTCCCATTCACTAGCCTCAGAACCTCCAGAAATGCAGTCCAGGGTGAGATACGCAGAGCTGTATGCCCAGAGTGTTTGTGTATGAATTAATGAGGAGAATTATCTTTTGCTTTAAGATGTTTAAGATTAGGTTGGGAGCCGGGCCAGTGGTGGTGCACGCCTTTAATCCCATCCCAGCACTTGAGAGGCAGAGGCAGGCAGGTTTCTGTGAGTTCGAGGCCAGCCTGGCCTACAAGAGTTCCAGGACAGGCTCCAAAGCTACAGAGAAACCCTGCCTTGAAAAAAACAAAAACAAACAAAGATTAGGTTGGGTTGCAGCTTATTGTGGAGAACCTGCCTGGGGGATGCAGAGTCCTGCATTCTATCCCCATACTGCAGTTTTTTTAAAACCTTGTTTAAATATTTAAGTCAGGCTTAGTGGCAGATAGTTTTAAATCCCAGCACTGGGGGGGGGGGCAGAGGCAGGTGGATCTCCATGAGTTCAAGGCCAGCCTGGTCTACAGTGAATTCCAGGACAGCCAGGGCTACACAGTGAAACCCTGTCTTGAAAAATCCAAAATAATAATAATAATAAGAGTAATTAATTATGCTCTAACCATTCAACTAAGCCTGGTGGCATAGCATAGGCTTACAATCCCAATCACTTGCAGGACTGAGGCAGGAGGGGGTAAGTAGTGCAAGGCCTTCCTGGGCTGGGAATGACTCCTAAAGCCAACCTGTCTCTAAAGAAGCAGCAAAGTCATAACTGTGTAACTGTAATCCTGCGCTTGGCAGGCAAGTTGATCAGGAGTTCAAAGCCAGTCTTAGCCACATAGTGAATTCAAAACCTACCTGAGCTACTTGAGTCTGTGTTTCTTTATAAAAAAAAAAAAATTTATTTAGATTTATTTTATGTATATGGGTGTCTACATGTACCTCTGCACTCCAGAAGAGGGCATCAGATTCCATGGGACTACAATTACAGATGGTTGTGAGCCACCATGTGAGTGCTGGGAACTGAACTCAGGAACTCTGTAAAAGCAACCAGTGCTCTTAACTGCAGAGCCATCTCTCCAGCATAAGACTGTTTCACAAAGCCAAAACCAAAATTAAAAATTTGGGGAGAAAAAGGGAAAAAAGGAAGAGTGCTGGGGACCTGGGCGTGGTGGTGATGCCGGCTGTACCCCAGCACTTGGGGCTGGAGAGTTGGAAGCCTCGAATACATGAGACACTCTTAAAAAGAACAAACACAAGAGGCTTAGGCTGAAGCTATAGCCCTGGTGGAGTACTTGCGTACATGCATGAGGCTCTAGGTCAGTTCCAGGCCATCAAGGGATGGCATCTAACTACTTATCTATGGAATGATCTAGTTCAAATTCATAATAAAAGATTATGTAGAGAAACAAGGACCAGTCAAAGATGGCCCTCAGGATGTTGTGGCAGGCGAGTCAGGAGTTCACACACACGTAGATAAAGAAGCTACATGGAATCATTGGTTGGGTAAGGGCGGTAGATTAACAAGTCTGTCTCAGAGTGTTCTGAGAAAGCAGGATATGTAAACTATCAACAGCTGAGAACTGAGGGCTGGTTCTGGCCAGCGTGTCTAATACTGTGGCTCTTTCCTCCTGGCAGTCAACACTAAGAAGGACTCGGAGTCAGCTCCAGTTAAAGGAGGCACCATGACTGACCTGGGTAAGACAGCCTTAAGGCGGGCAGTGCCCGGCAGGGAGAGCTCAGCTCGCCTCTAGCCTTACGTCTCGCCTTCTTCCCTTTTCAGATGAACAGGAGGATGAAAGCATGGAGACCGCGGGCAAGGTGGAGCCAGTTTAGAGGGGCTCTACCTCTCTCTGTGATTGTGACTGTAGTTCCTTCTGCCTGGGCTTTTCCCACCGTAGCGTCCTCTAGCTGTTGCTCAGTGCTGCAGCCCCAGGCCCATGTGCTCGTCCTCACAACCTCTCTTAGTGCCCCTGCTCCTGGGTGTAGGAACCGGAGGGGTGCGAGGCGGGGAGTGGGAATGCTGTGTGTCCAGCAGCCTCCGTATCACAGGATGAGGACGAGAGCAGTACGGGCAACAAGGGGGAGCAGACCAAGAATCCAGACCTGCATGAGGACAACGTGACCGAGCAGACCCATCACATCATCATCCCCAGCTACGCTGCCTGGTTTGACTACAATAGGTACGGCCAGCCCATCCGTCAGTCCTTCTGCCTCAATGAGGCTGATGTTGCACTGCCTTCCAGAGACCCTCCAGCACTTGAGGAGTTTCTGGCCCCTCTACAGTTTAGGGCTGCTTCATGACCACACTCCCTTTAGGGCTCCTCTTCCACCCCTAAAACCCTCTCCTGACCCATTGTGATTTCTCCTGCAGTGTTCACGCCATTGAGCGGAGGGCTCTCCCTGAGTTCTTCAACGGCAAGAACAAATCCAAGACTCCAGAGATGTAAGATTTCAGCTCATGGCTGTCTTTTGGTGCCCTTTCTGCTTTCGCCCTTCCAGATTTAGCAAACATCCAGGCAGGCTCTCTGTTGGGCTTACGCACAACACATGGTAGATGCAGCTGCAGCCTGAGCCTTTAAAGCATGGTCTTCAGGGGTGAGTCGGTGTGCTCTTCTGTGGGCTTCAGAGAGTTCCAGTCACAATTGTTCTTTGTAATGTATATGACCTTAGTGTGTGCAGCAACTTTAATTAATTAAATGTAAATGACTAGGACTAGGTTGAAATCCTGGTAAGAAAACAAGATAAGGCCAGCCCTGGTGGCTCACATCTGTCTGTGGTCCTAGTACGTGGGAGGGTGGCTGAAACAAGAACTCAAATTTGAGGCCAGTGTGGGCTTCCTAGCTAGACTTTTTCAAAGAGAAGAAAAAAGAAAATGAGAAGGAACTAAAGGGAAGGTCCAGTTCTGAGAAATACCAGAGAGAGTGCATTCTGAAAGAGTAGTATGTAAGGTCCAGGGCGGGGATGTGGCTCCAAAGCAGAACCCGGGCCTGATGTGCACAGGAGCTGTGTCCTAGCGCTGTCTGCAGACCTCTGTGAGTCAGTCTCGTCCACACATCTGATGCCAGCCCGGGCCAGGCTGAGGTGTTGGTGTTTATTGAATTTGATCACTGCTGTGTGCCATGTGGGACACACTCCCTCCTTGAGCCCGCTGTAAACTGTTATGCATCCCTCTGGCTCTTCTAAGACACCTGACTGTGAGACTTGACAGGACAGCTGAGACTGGGACTGGGATGCTCCCTCTGCTCTTGCTGCTGCTCAGCCTCCTTCTGTGTGTGTCGGGGTTCATCAGAAGGACAGGGAGTTGGTCACCAGATGACACGATCCCGTTACCACGCGTGCTTTCAGGAACGGCGAGTGAGAACTGCTGACGTCCAAGAGTGGCCCCAGCACTGACTAGTCTCAGGAGGCTGGCGCCCACTGTGTCTAGCTTACACACTAGGATGCTGGCAGGAAGAGCAGGTGACAGTGTCACCTGAGTGAGCTCACACAGCTAGTAAGATGTGAAACCAGGGTCTGACCTGTAGTTTGGCTCAGAGTCTGATTTTATACTTTATAACAGCTACCTTTTTAATATTAAGTGTGGGGTTTTTTTTTTTTTTTTTTTGGTTTTGTATTTTTTCTTCAAGGCAGGGTTTCTCTGTGTAGCCCTGACTGTCCTGCAGTTCACTCTGTAGACCAGGCTGGCCTTGAGCTCACAGAGGTCCGTCTGTCTCTGCCTCCCGAGTGCTGGGATTAAAGGCGTGTGCCACCACTGCCTGGCAAGATTTATTTTATTTGTTAAGTTATTGTCTGTGTGTATGTGTATGTGGGTGCAGACCCACAGAGGCCAGAAGAGGGTGTTGGATCTGCTGGAGCTGGAGGCTGCCATGAGTGGTCCCGCGCCCATGCTGGGATCTGCGTAGCCCTAGCCCAGAAGCTGTCATTTTTTGGGCTACAATATGTCAGACACAGGTAGCTCCCCACGGACATCCCATGTCACACTAGGGGTGTCTTAAGTTAGGGATAACTTGACATCATTATCATGATAAGACTGGCATCTGGCTTTAAATCTTTCTAACTTCAAATATAAATTACATCCCAACATTTGAGTGACTGAGGCAAGATCATAAGTTCTAGGCCAGTCTAGGCTACAAAGCAAGTTCCAGACTAACCTGAACTACAAAGTGAAATCTTGTCTCAAGAGGAAAAAAAAAGCCAGACATGGTGGCACACATCTTTAATCCCAGCACTCAGGAGGCAGAGGCAGACGGACCTCTGTGAGCTCAAGGCTAGCCTGGTCTACAGAGCGAGTTCCAAGGCAGCCAGTGCTATATAGTGAGACTGTGTCTCAAACCAAAAAACAAAAACAAGAAGTGTTGTGTGGAGATAATCCGTGGTTATGAGTGTGCACTGGCTCTTGCAGAGGACCAGTTTGGTTCCCAGCACCCACGTCAAGTGGCTCTCAACTACTTACAGCTTAGATCCTGCTTGCAATGCGCATATCCCACAGATAATTAACAGTAAAGTGAGCCTCGATATTTTTAAATATATTTATGGGTGCATGCAGACATGTATTCTGTACATGCTCTGTGTATGTGCAGGTGCCTTTGGGGTCAGAAGAGGGCATCAGATCCTCTAGGATTGGAGTTACATGTGTTGTGAGCCTCCATGTGGGTGCTGGGAACTGAGCCAGGTCCTCTGCAAGAAGGAGCTCTTAACCTCTGAGCCCTGTCTCTGGCCCCTAAAATAAAATAAATCTTTTTTTTTTTTTAAAGCAAAAACAAACAAAAAGGGCCTGTGAGATGGCTCAGTGGGTAAGGGCGCCTGCCACCAAACTGATGAGCTGCGTGGGTCCCTAGAATCCATATGGCAGGAGAGAGTGGACTCCCATAGGCTGTCCTCTGACCTCCATACATGTGCCTTGGAGCATACACACATACACACAATTAAATAAAAAAATGACAAGAGAAAGAGCTAGCTGGCCTGGTGGGATCCACATGGTACTCATGCACACACACACAACTGCAAATACAAATGTGTGAAGTGTGTGAAGAAATAATGGAGTTTTAAAAAGACAGAAGAGAGAGAGGGAGTGAGACGGCTTAGCAGTTTTGAGTCTGACGTGCAATTGGTCTCTGGGTCCCCCATGCTGGCAGGAGAGAACCAGCTCGTGAAAGCTGCTGTCTCACCTCCACAGGTGCTCTGTGGACTGTGAGTGCGTACAGGTAAAGAACACATAAGCATAAATAATGGAGAAAACTAGCATATGTAAAAACTAACTTTAAAAAGTACAGTGTTACACATTTGTAATCCTAGCCCTTGGGAGGCAGAGGCACAAGATGGTCTCCACAAGGCTAGCCTGTACTACATAAGACCGTCTACACAAGGCTAGCCTGTACTACACAAGACTGTGTCAGAAAATGATAAATTTAAAAAATTATAAGTAAAAAGTTCAAGAGCCAAAACAAAAGCAACCCATAAAGGCTAGAAAGATGGCTCAGCGATGAAGGGCTGACCGCTCTTGCAGAGGACCTGGGTTTGAGTCCCAGCACCTATGTGATGGTGCACATCTGTTGACAACTCCAATTCCTGGGGAGCCAAAAACTCCTTTTGGCGTACTTGGGCACCAGGCATGCATGTAGTACACAGATATACATGTAGGCAAAACACCCATACACATAAAAAAAGTAAATCAACAGCTTGGCAGTGGTGGTGCACACCTTTAACCCCAGTACTTGGAGGCAGAGGCAGACAGATCTCTGTGTTCAAGGTCAGCCTGGAACTACCTATGGAGTTTCAGGATAGGCAGGGATATACAGAGAAACCCTGTCTCAAAACCAGAAAAAAAAAATGAAAAAAGCAGTCTTTAAGGTCCTTTTCCAGCAACAGGCTGATTGGCTAGTTGCATGGGCAAGGACTTTTTTAGTGTCTTAGGAAACAGACATTTTTCCTGAACCTGGTTTGCTGTCTCTGTGGAGTTAGGTAGCCCTGGCTTCTCTCTTTGTCACACAAAAGGGGTCAGTAGCATTTTTCTCGCTTTTCCTCCCCTTGGGCTTCAACAAACATTAATTTTCTTCCTCTTATTCGTCTCTCTGACTCTTGTAAGCTACCTGGCGTATCGAAACTTCATGATTGACACTTACCGACTGAATCCCCAGGAGTATCTAACATCCACTGCCTGTCGGCGGAACTTGGCGGGTGATGTCTGCGCTATCATGAGGTGGGTCTTGCTTCCGTGGAGAGTGAGTTTGAGAGGACGGCTGTGTGTGTCTTGGCAGAGCTACAGATGCTTTCAGGAAAATAGGGACTAAGCAGGAGAACACACCTAGAGAAAGCCCCTGCCATACATAACAGGACTTAGGGGATCGGAAATGTGATGTAAAATAGGACAGAGGGCCGTGTCCTTAGCTGAATGGCAGTTGGATGGACTTTACCAGCTGTCTAGGAGGAGATGGTCACTAGGACGTGGTCCTGGAGAGAAGTCCAGGCTGGGGGTGTGTACCTGGGTGTCACTGTCGGTGATGAGTGGGTGACGGCACTAGTCTTCCTCCTTTCTGGCTGTCCCATATGGCCCACCCTTCCTTTCTCTCACAGGGTCCATGCCTTCCTGGAACAATGGGGTCTTATTAACTACCAGGTAGATGCTGAGAGCCGACCAACCCCAATGGGGCCTCCACCCACGTCTCACTTCCATGTCTTGGCGGACACACCATCAGGGCTGGTTCCTCTTCAGCCCAAGACCCCACAGGTAGGGTGAGGGGCACTGGGGACAAGGGTGGGTGGGTAAGACGGGACTTCTTTGGACTTTTCTTTTTCTGTTCACTTTTTATTTGTGTATGTTTGAGAGTACTGAGTCGGGTGCTGTAGGGCTTCTTCTTGAGCAGTGGGTTGGAAAGGGGCCACAGGAGTCAGCCCTTGTGTTTCATCCTTCTGTTAGCCCTGACACTTGCTGAGGGAGAGAAGTTGCTCCTTATCCCAGGGAACAGACAGGCAAACGCAGGAGATAGAACAAATAGAGACATGGCTTGCCATAACTCATATGAAGTTTTTATACTTTGTCATGTTTCCCATATTTTTTCATTTTTGCCTCATAATTATTGTCACCTTGTTTTCTTCCATTTCCATTCCATACATTATTAGACAGAGAAGAAAACATTGCGTGGCTCATACAAGATACTGAATCTAGGATTAGGATCTGCCGTCCAGCTCCTTAGAGCATCTGTAGATACATGTGACTACAAATGTCTATCATGCCAACTACATGTCTAATTAATCTTGGAGGCAGCATGGGACAGTGGCATGAGTGTTCCCAGAGCTGTGGCCGCCCAGTGCACCTCTAGGCCTCCAAGGCCTTGACCTGCCCACTTTCTGCCCAGCTTCCATGACGCCGAGCTCTGTCCCCCAGGGCCGCCAGGTTGATGCTGATACCAAGGCTGGGCGGAAGGGCAAAGAGCTGGATGACCTGGTGCCAGAGACGGCTAAGGGCAAGCCAGAGCTGGTAGGTGGGGTGCAGACCCCGCTGGGCTATTTATTTGCCCCTTCACTGGGGGGCCCCTGCCTGGAAAGAAGAGACAAGAGAGCAGAGGGCAGAGGAGCTGCAGCAGGAAGGGAAGTCCTGCCAGGGCACTCCTGGCTTTGGGGAAGAAGCTCCTTCTCTCTCTCTTTCTCTCTCTCTCCATCCCTCTGTCTCTGTCTCTCTCTCTCCATCTCTCTCTGCCTCTGTCTGTCTCTCTCTTTCTCTCTCTCTGCCTCCTGTGACCACTTATACTCATGTGTTCCTCGTCTCCCCTTCCATAAATAGCAGAGCTCTGCTTCCCAACAAATGCTCAACTTTCCTGACAAAGGCAAAGAGAAACCCACGGACATGCAGAACTTTGGACTGCGCACAGACATGTATACAAAGAAGAATGTCGCCTCCAAGGTATGAGGTGCAGTCGGCCTGGGCTTGAGAGCCTTGGCTCCACACAATTTGACTCTGACTGACGCACCTGTTTCTCTGCAGAGTAAAGCTGCAGCCAGCGCCACTCGGGAATGGACAGAACAGGAGACGCTGCTGCTCCTGGAGGTAATTGGGGCAAGGCAAGGAGAGCTCTGCTGTGAGGACAAAGTGTCTGGGGTGCCAGCTGCCCCTGAGTGGGGAGCTCTCGTGCATTCTGGTGTGAGTGCAGCACCAGGCCCGGCCACTCCCCTCTCTGTGCTGGTCACATTTGTCCCAGGAACAGCTCCAGGTCAGGAATTTGGGCCTTTTTATCATCCCATATCCTTTCTTAGTGCTACTTGGAGATCCCCCTTGGATCCAGCCGAGTACAGAAATACCAGCACACAAAGAGCTTTGAAGCCAGATGCCCTCAGTAGGATGGGGGGAGCTGACCTTGGAGGGAAGTGGCTGAGTAAGCGGAGTTGTGTCTCCACCACTCCCACCAGGCTCTGGAGATGTACAAGGATGACTGGAACAAAGTGTCTGAACATGTGGGGAGCCGCACGCAGGATGAGTGCATCTTGCATTTTCTTCGCCTTCCCATTGAAGACCCATACCTGGAGGACTCGGAGGCCTCCCTAGGCCCTCTGGCCTACCAGCCCATCCCCTTCAGTCAGTCGGGCAACCCTGTTATGAGCACTGTTGCCTTCCTGGCCTCTGTCGTCGACCCCCGCGTCGCCTCTGCTGCTGCAAAGTCAGCCTTAGGTAATTTGGGGTGTGGGGGCCGGCCCTCTTGGTTTGTTTTGCAGGGTTAGACACTCAGAGTGAAACCTTCTCAAGTCTGGCTGCCCTGCTGGCCTTGTCTGTTGCTGCCTTAGGTCAGGCACCTGTCTAAACTCCATGTTGCTCTTAGAGGAAGATGGGCTTGTAAGAAAGCGTTCACAGGGATGACCAGAACGGGCCTCCTGCTTCGTCCCAGCCTCTCCCCCTCTGGGTCTTACAGAAGAGTTCTCCAAAATGAAGGAAGAGGTGCCCACAGCCTTGGTGGAAGCCCATGTGCGGAAAGTGGAAGAAGCAGCCAAGGTCACAGGCAAGGCAGATCCCGCCTTTGGTCTGGAAAGCAGCGGCATTGCGGGAACCACCTCTGACGAGCCCGAGCGCATTGGTGAGCACTGGCTTTTAGATTTCTCCCTGGTCACCAAGAGCCAGCTCCAGCCGGCTGCCCTGTGCCGTCCCATGTGGTCTGCCCATCACAGCACAAATGGGAGAGAGTCCGCGGGTTTATTGTCCTCGTGATGTCACTCTAGGGACTGTGGCTCCTTCTGGTCCTGTCCTTGAGGCTCTGTCTGCTGAGAACTTGTCACGTAGATGGCACTTACAGACATCTCTCCTTTCTCTCCTTTCTCCATGGGTCCAGAGGAAAGTGGGACTGATGAGGCCCGGGCAGAGGGCCAGGCGGCAGATGAGAAGAAGGAGCCGAAGGTACAGAGGGAGAGACCTGGGTCTGGATGAGGCTGGGTGCAGCCTGTGGGATAAGGGATCCAGTGGAAGGGCCGTCTCCTGGAGGGAGGGGTCGTGTGGGGCTGAGACGGTTAGTGCTAAGAGTGCTTGTTCTACAAATATGAATTAGTATCCCTGGCACCTTTGTAAACTTTGGCATTGGCCGGGCATGGTACCACACGCCTTTAAATCCAGCACTCAGAAGGCAGAGTCAGGTGGATCTCAGTGAGTTCAAGGCCAGTAAGTTCGAGGATAGCCAGAACTATTACACAAAGAAACCCTATCTTGAAAAACCAAAAAACCAAAAAAAAAAAAAGTTTGGCATCATTTTACGTTCCTGATACACCATCGTGGGACCATTGGAAGGTGGACCTGTCTTTAAGGCAGTGAGATAGATACCCCTGTCCTGCTCTGACCTCGGCATGTTCACACACAGGTTTACACATCCATACATGTCCATGCAGCACACACTACACACGCACACAGAGGATCAGTAAGTCAGAGTCAGTTACAGCCCGGGGCCTGTGAGAACTGCATCCTCCAGTGTCTTCCTTTCTTCTTCTGGAACTGCAGGAACCACGGGAAGGAGTAGGTATTGCAGAGGAAGAAGCGAAGGAGGAAGCCAGTGAGGCTCCCAAGAAGGATGAGGAGAAAGGGAAAGAAGGGGACAGTGAGAAGGAGTCCGAGAAGAGCGACGGGGACCCGGCAGGTGAGCCGCCCAGCATGGCGTGTGTGGGCAGCAGAGGGATGTGCACTCAGAAGGCTGAGTCGGCCTTCGTCCTGCCACAGCTGATCCTGAGAAAGACAAGGAGCCGAAAGAAGGACAGGAGGAAGTGCTGAAGGAGGCGGTGGAGTCAGAGGGGGAGAGGAGAACGAAGGTGGAGCGAGACATTGGTGAGGGGAACCTCTCTACAGCTGCTGCCGCTGCCCTGGCTGCTGCCGCAGTCAAGGCCAAGGTGAGGGTCTCCTCAGAGAAGCTGCCTGCTCCACCTAGCCCTTCCCTTCTCACTCCTTAGGGCTGGCCTCTTCCCTTGAATTTTTATCCTAAATGAGTTAGTCATCTCTTTTAACCTTTTTTTTTAATTAATTAATTTATTTATTTATTAAAGATTTCTGTCTCTTCCCCACCGCCGCCTCCCCTTTCCCTCCCCCTCCCCCAATCAATCTTTTAACCTTTTAAATCTCTTATGTTGGCTGTTTCCAGCCCTTTGATTTCTTTTACCTGCCTTATTTCTTGCTATTCTTTTTCTACGTGCTTTTTATATTTAAAAAAAATTATAGTTATAATGTTCTGAGTTGTGGTCACAGCTCCTTCCTTCTTAAACCTGCCAGCCTCTGCCCTTCCCTCTCCCCCTGGAGTGTCTGCAGCTGAGTCCTCTGGCTGACCCCGTCACATTCCTTACCTAGCATTTGGCTGCGGTGGAGGAGAGGAAGATCAAGTCTTTGGTGGCCCTGCTGGTGGAGACCCAGATGAAGAAACTAGAGATTAAACTTCGCCATTTTGAGGAGCTAGAGACAATAATGGACCGGGAGCGAGAAGCAGTGAGTAGCTCCAGTCGGGAGTCAGCATGAACCTGGAGTCCTGCCAGAAGCCTGGGCTCAGGGGTGAGGCTGAGGGGAGTAGGGCAGGTGGGCTGCGGCTGGGTTCTGGCTGCTGCATCTCCAGTCTGGAGAATGCTTTCCTCTCTACCAGAGTTTTCTAAAGTTGGGTGAGTGAACGGATTTAAGAGGTGATAAGATACTAGGGATGTAAATTTGGACAATAGATGGGACAGACTAGTATCAAGTCAGTTTCTTTGAGGACTTAAAGAGAAGTAGAAGATGGGGACCCTGGAGACATCAGACATTTAATAGGAGGTATCAGAAACAGTTAACAATACTTAAACTACCCAGAAAATTCATATTAGAAGATTTTTCTAAGGGGTAGACTGGCTTAGCCATTGGGAACAGACCCATGTTGGCCCCTAGGGGACTTTCACGGACACCCACACAGATACATGTCCATACACATCGTTAAAAGTAACTTTAAAATCTTCACCTTTAATCCCAGCACTCAGGAGGCAAAGAATTCTGTGAGTTTGAGGCCAGCCTAGTCTACATAGTGAGTTCCAGACAGCCAGGGATAACAGAGAAACCCCGATTCTAAAAATAAATAACTAAACAAATCTGGGAGATTCCGAACAAAAACAAAATTCAGAGGCCAGTGAACCCATGTAGAACTCACTAGAATAGTCAAGTTGTTAGCCTGTCTTGAAGGGAGAAGAGAGCTTGAATTCATAGAAACTGGAAGCATGGCGGGCGGTGGTGGCGCACGCCTTTAATCCCAGCACTCGGGAGGCAGAGGCAGGCGGATCTCTGGGAGCTACAAGAGCTAGTTCCAGAACAGGCTCCAAAGCTACAGAGAAACCCTGTCTTGAAAAAAAAAAAAAAAAAAAAAAACTGGAAGCATTTTCAAATCAGAGTAGTAACAAGTTCAGAGTTTGGGACTGAAACGAACCAGAACCACACCAGAAGATAGTCGAGTGCAGTGAGGAGCAGCATGGGTGGCCAGGAGTCTGTGGACTGGGGTGTGCGCAAGGGTCTGTCTTGGGGATACACCAGCCTGAGCAATACGGTCTTCCAAAAGAAAAAGTGGGGCCGAGGTGTCCGCCCAAGGATCTGGACCTGCTGACCGTATTCTGTTGGCACTGGCAGCTGGAGTACCAGAGGCAGCAGCTCCTGGCTGACCGGCAGGCCTTCCACATGGAGCAGCTGAAGTACGCAGAGATGAGGGCCCGGCAGCAGCACTTCCAGCAGATGCACCAGCAGCAGCAGCAGCAGCCACCAACCCTGCCCCCAGGCTCCCAGCCCATACCACCGCCTGGGGCTGCTGGGCCTCCCACGGCCCATGGTCTAGCTGTGGCTCCAGCAGCTGTGGCCCCTGCTCCTGCTGGCGGTGGGGCCCCTCCTGGAAGCTTGGGCCCTTCTGAGCAGATCGGGCAAGCAGGGTCAACTGCAGGGCCACAACAGCCACAAGCAGCTGGAGCCTCCCAGCCTGGGGCAGTCCCACCAGGGGTACCCCCCCCTGGACCCCACGGTGAGTGTGCATCCTGCAGAGAGCCAAGCAAATGATCTGGTTCCTTTGAAGGGAATTCCTGCTGGGCCCGGCGATAAGAGTGTCTACAGGTGGACTCCGTTATTATGTCCACAGACCAGCAGGGATATCTTCCCAGACTTACCTGGAGTTCTATTCTGGTGTCAGGCTAGGGAAGCTTGAGCTGCTGTGTAAGATTTTTCTCCTCTCATGTCTTTGTTCTGTTTATTTCTAGGCCCCTCACCGTTCCCCAACCAACAAACTCCTCCCTCAATGATGCCAGGGGCAGTGCCAGGCAGCGGGCACCCAGGCGTGGCGGGTAATGCTCCTTTGGGTTTGCCTTTTGGCATGCCGCCTCCTCCTCCCCCTGCTGCTCCATCCATCATCCCATTTGGTAGTCTAGCTGACTCCATTAGTATTAACCTTCCTCCTCCTCCTAACCTGCATGGGCATCACCACCATCTCCCGTTTGCCCCGGGCACTATCCCCCCACCTAACCTGCCTGTGTCCATGGCGAACCCTCTACATCCTAACCTGCCGGCGACCACCACCATGCCATCTTCCTTGCCTCTCGGGCCGGGGCTCGGATCCGCCGCAGCCCAGAGCCCTGCCATTGTGGCAGCTGTTCAGGGCAACCTCCTGCCCAGTGCCAGCCCACTGCCAGGTGAGAAGGGACCAGGAGGGGAGAAGGGTGAGGGAGAGGGTTCCACATGGTGGGAAGGAGGGCAGGAGGGTAAAGGGTTAGATACTAGAATTTCCATAGCTGTTCTCAGCACTCTGGTAAAACTAGAACACAGGAGGAAGGGCCTCTCTGGCTGTCCTCCACTTCCCCATTTGGCAGCTGCCACCTCTGGGATGACGCTGGGGCCATTCACTGGTGGGTCATGGAGGAGTCCAGTGCGCAGAGGACCTCCGTTGTAAACCTGGACACTAGCTGCCCATACGCATGACTATGGCATCCCTTTGCTTGTTCCCACCACATTCAGATGCCCTATCTAGAGTCCTTGGGGGCAGGAAGATGGTTTGGGGTCTTCCCAGTGTCAGGTGGAAAGGGATATTAGGGAAAAGAAGCTAAACAGAGTGGGTACCTCATCCATCTACCCACCCACTGCATGCCATGCCCAGTTTGTGTGTGGAGCCTGGGGCTGGTTTGTTTCCTCTGCTTGCTCCAGCTCATTCATCTTCCTTTTCTCCGCAGACCCCGGCACCCCGCTGCCTCCAGACCCCACAGCTCCGAGCCCAGGCACAGTCACCCCTGTGCCACCTCCACAGTGAGGAGCCAGCCAGCCATCTTTCCCCCTCACTCCCCATGGAGGTCACAGTTCCAGGAACAGCCCTCCCCCACTTCTGGGACCTCTCTGAGCCTGGAGAGTTCATCACTACGTAAGGAAAGCTCCTCATGCCCCCTCACCGCCCCACCATGCCCATCAGAGGTGTGCAGTTTTATGTCCAGTTCTTATCCACGGACTTCTGACTAAAAGATGTTCCTCATGCCTGGGAGAGAAGCTAGGGTGGAAATGGAGCCCTCAAAGGAAGGGCCAGGGAAAGATGTTTATAGGTGATTCTGCTAACCACTTCTGAGGGTGCCCCCCTCAGACTACTGTATTTTTTAAGTGGATATCGTGAAAACGAAACCCTTTAAAAGGGAGGTTTTAAAAAGACATATTGGAGTCCACAAAAAATAACTTTTTTTTGAGGGGGAAGGGCAGATTTTAAGGGGAATTAAGGTTTGGGGGCGAGCTGTGGGGATGGACTAGGGTACCAGGCCTGTCTCCCTGAGCCCCTCACCCATTCCAGTTTACCATGCTGAGCCCTCCCGCTGCTTGTCGTTGCTGCTGTTTTAGGCCACAGCTCAGCAATGACCTTCCCTCTGAATGTCAGCTGTGTTTTTGTTTTTAAAAGACACCTGCTTAGTTGATGTCAGCGTACATGTATTTGGTGGGGATATGTATTTTGGGGGGATTCCATGGTAGACAATAGAGGAAGGAAGGGCCGCAGTTGGGGCTGTTCTTCCTGCTCTTTCTGGTTGTATCTGTGAGAGCCTAGATGGCTTGAAGCGGGAGCTCTAAGAGGATGGGGAGTTTGCAAACCCTGAAAATTTGAAAAGCACTTAAGACCTGTGGGGATACTCTGCTATTTCTGCCCTCTCCCACCAAGCCTGACAGACCCTCACTGATAGCTAGGAGTTCCCCAGATGAGGACAAAGATTTGGGGGCAGCGCGGCATGGCCCTGCTCCCTGGACTTCAGTGCCTCTGCACTCCGGTTCCTTCTCCTCACCCTCCTCGTGAGGCAGACAGGATCCCAGGCTCCACACCAATGCTTGGTCCCTCCTGCCAGGCCCTTTGTTCCTCCTGTCCCAGTGTTTCTTTTCCTCTGCATCTTGGCACCTTTCTTCTGTTCAAAGTTTTCTGTAAAATTTTCTTTTCTTTGTTCTTTTTCTTTTTTTAATTTTTTTTTATAAATTAATTTGCTTTCAGTTCCATCTTGTGAATGCCTGTGTTCTCTTACCTGTGGTTGCTAGGGAGGGGCAGCCTTCCTGGAGCCCCTCACTGGGCATTTACCACAGGCCCACAGATGTCAGTCTCCTGCCACAAAAGGCCAAAGGCAACCCAGCATTTAGGACTGCAGCAGCCACGCTCACCTGCCCTGAAATAGCTCTCGGAAGAATGGATCTAAATCCTTTTAGACAGTGGCTACATTCCTTCCCTTATTAGGGAGGAGGCAGGCACTCGCCTCCCACTGTCGTCACTGGCCCTCAGCCCTGCAGACAGGACAAGACAGGCGGTAGCTGTGCTAATATGTCCTGGTGGTTTAGCTCCAGTGAATACCCACAGGCTTTCCCACAAAGGCGGTCAGTACCTAGGAGGGTGGGGACCTGTTTCAAAGAAGCCCTAAGGCCAAGAAATGTAACTTGACCCCGAATAGAGCAAAAGGATCCCCACACAAGCACACAGCTAGCTGTAGGGATTTATGGCTTTCTTCATTCCCCAAAGGGGAGCCTTTCATTAATGAGGCCCTAGTCCAGTTTTCCCTAAACCCACCCTCAGCCCAGAGCTTTGTCTCAGAACAGACGTCAGTACCGCCTCACCCTTTCCTCCCTCACCCTGACCAGGAAAGGAAATGGAACCAAATAGGGCAAAGAGAGAATTTTATTTGGTGAAGACAGACATCCAGAAGAGACCAGATGGCAAGGTGCTGTGACAAGGGAGCCTAGGAGGGGGCCACAGGGAGATCCCACACTGGGCAAGGCACAGGCTCGGGGTCTGGAAATGTCCTCAGCCGTTCAGCACCATCCGGACAAGCTCTGTGGGGGAGAGGTGGAGTAAGCCAAGGACAGGGCTCAGGAGGGTGCACCACGGGCCAGGAGACCACAGATCATGAAGGTGGCATGAGGAACATGGCCACAGCAACCAACCCTGGGGTTAGTTTGCCAAGAGCCACCTTGAGTGACCAGTTCTCTCTGTCCCTGGCTCCCCTCCCAGCAGCTGTTAGCCCCCACCCCACGCTGAGTAGCAAGAACACAGCAGAGGCAGGAGTTCTCAACTACACCTAGAGCTACTGTCAGCCACTGGCAGGAGAGGACAGTTTTGGGTTAGGTACCTCCAAGCTGTCCAGCAGAGGGACGGAGAGAACCATTTTGTTATAGCAGCAGAACGGGGCAAGCAGCCTACCCCCCTTTGCAACTCTCCATGCTCCAGGGCCAAAGACCCACCATAAGGCAAGCCTTTTTGAGAAGCTGGTGAGAATTTCCTGACACCAGCACCAAGTAAGTCCAACCTCAGAGACCGGAGAGAAGTAAGGAGGTACTACACCCCCAAGCTGCCTCCCTTACTGAGGAACCCTCCCCTCCAGAGCCAGCTCCATGCAGAATCATGCCAGGAGGAAGTCAGTTGGTAGTAACTATGGGCGGGGGCTAGAGAGCACAGTTGGGAAGAAAGGAAACACCAGGGAGACACTAGAGGAGAGGCTGGGAGGAGCCGTACCCGCCCCATGGGCCCGTCACCCCGACAGGATGTGCCTCACAAATGCTGCAGGAAGGAAGAGACATTAATGGTGAAGACACAGACATGGGTGACATGGGTGAAGGGGTCAGCAGTGAGGGAACAGACGTTCTGTTTGCTTCCCACTCATAGCCCACCCTTCTGTCACCATTGTGTACCCAACAGCCCCCTCCCAGGCTGGACGGGACCTTGCCCCTTAACTCTTGGTTCCTTTCTGGAACCAAATCTAGGGAGAAAACATCTCAGGTGCCGTCCTTAACATGCCCTAAGACCACTTCCTCCTCAAAGGCTCCAGTTGACAGCTGGACACTCACCTTCATAGTTGATACAACCGTTGCTGTCCTCATGACCCGCCACCAGCATCTCCACTTCCTCCTCTGTCATCTTCTCTCCTGCAGAGGAAGGGTCATTTTAGAGCTTGGTGACAGGTGAGGTGTATCAGGGTGGCAGCTCAGCTCCAGAGCAAGGTCACAGAGCCTTACCCAGTGTGACGAGGACATGCCGGATTTCAGCACCCATGACAGTACCATTCCCTTCCTTGTCGAACACACGAAGGCCTTCGACATAGTCCTCATAAGTTCCCTGGTCCTTGTTCTTGGCCACAGTCTGCAACATGGGCAGGAAGTGCTCGAAGTCCAGCACCTTCACATTCATCTCTGCGTGTAGGAAGTACAAGTGTCAGCCAAGAGAACCACTCGTGTTCTTGGAACACAAGTGAACCAACGGGTGTGGCAGAGAAGGGAGAGTCTGCAGGACTGGCTGGCTGAGCCTATGAAGATACAGGGGTGCTTTTAGCTGAACAACCATAAACCCACTGGCGCACTAAGTTCTTGAGAAGCTCACCATCGCTCTTAGGGTTCCCCAGGACCTTGAGCACCTCGGCGTTGGTAGGGTTCTGGCCCAGGGCCCTCATCACGTCCCCACATTGGCTGTACAGGATCTTGCCATCACCTGTTCGGTCAAACAGCTGGAAAGCCTCCTTGAACTCTGAAGATTCAAATGAACAACAGTCCTGGGAATGAGGCCAGTCCAGACTGTAAAACTCTGCTGCCAATTCAACTTTAATCGTGCTGGAGAAACCAGATCCCCTGTCCTGTACACCCAAGGCTGCCCATATGGATCTATTTCTACCAACTCAAATGTCCCGGAGAAAGACACAGCCACCTTCCCCTTAGCACAAGGAGGTATCCACCTGTTTGTTTACACACCCGAGCCCGCAGCAGACAGGCTCTCCACTACTCCCAAGGAATTTGTTGCCGCCCCGCTAGGTCCTGTCCATATAAGGAAGTAGCAGCGGCTAGGAAGTCTGTCTAGGGTCATTCTAGCCGGCCACTTCCCACCCTTCCCCTTACAGAGGTCTTCCAGGGGTAAAGTTAAGTCACATCCTTAGCAAACTCCCCAGAACCCATCTTTACAATTACCAAGGCACTGCTCCTACAGTATCCGCAATCCAAGCTTAAGGGGGGGGGGGGAGTTATCACGGGATAGGCAAAAGTAGCAGATTAGAAGAGGCAGAACACAGCCATAAATAGACCCGACACACAACAGGCAGTAACCAAACAAGTTGTTTGACATACCCACACTACCTAAAACTCGCCCAGTGCTTGGGGCTCAGATCTAGAGTGGAGGGGGAAGGAAGAAAGAATGAGAAAAGAAAATGGAGGATCCAGAGAGGAGAAGGAAATCCATGTGGCAATCTCCCGGGAATGCTGAAGAGCTGACAAGCTGGGATCGGAGAGTAGGTGCCAGCGGAGGGTGTCCCCCTCGGTAAGGGTGACCTCAGTTGGGGGCCAGAGGCTGCCTACCTGCGGTCTGGTCCTCGGTGAAGTCACACTGCTCGGAGAAGAAGGCACTGGTCAGCACCTCAAGTCCAACCCCGCAAGCTTCTATCCCGGCCTTACAAACTGAACCCCGACTCCTATTTCAAGGTGAGGGCTCGCTTCCTGAGGCAGAGCCCTAGACCTTCCGACCCCCACGTACAACCTTCCAAGACCTGGGCTTGCCTTTGTCCACATCCACTGGCTTCTCTCCCCCGACCCATGGCTCCCTCCTTGCCCCAAATCCCCTAATCTCCCGATACCCGAGGCCCACCATCTTGGCTGCTCAGCTCTGCAGGACCTTTTCCGGCAGTAATGGCTCCGAGTCCCGACCCAGCCCTAGCTTTAGTACGTCCCATGGCGTACGACGTCACCTGCAGTTTCACCCAATAGGAATGCTAGTCTGGGCTCATGCGGATGACATCACTACATTAGTAATGATGTGAGAAGCCCCCACCCTCCGCTCAGAAACGCCCCAGGCCTGGGTTGCGGATTCTTTGGAAGCTTTTCTCCCGAGCTGCACAAAGAACAGGGAATTTGGGCTTAGGCAGAAGACGGGACTACTTCCCTCCTTCCCCTTTCTCAAAAGAAAACAGTCGGAGACCAAAGCAAGAACCATGTTTTTATTTGAAAACTCTAAGTGCCGCCTAGTGGCAGGAATGCGCTCCCAGCCGCCTGGGAGGTGGGGTAAGTACCGACCCGGCTGGGTCTGTGTGGGAAAAAGAAAGTTGTCCCGCCCTGGCGCTTGAGCTGCACAGACTGGGAAAACGCACTGCCTGCTCTTCTGTCTGGTTGGTCTAGGAGCCTCAGGACGACACTAGCCGGGGAGGACTCTGGGGAGCTCAGAGGCTTAGGATGTGCTTCAGGAAGGCTGCACGAGAGGGGGTGAGAGGACTTCAGAAACCGACTTCAGGGTAATCCATCGAACTTTAGGAAATTGAGGGTGCCCCCCTCATCCTCTGGTCTGCTCCTGCCCCCTTACCCTCATAGTTGATACAGCCGTTGCTGTCCTCGTGGCCTGCTAGGACAGTCTCCACCTCTTCCTCAGTCATCTTCTCACCTAACCCCAAACAGAGCGCCTCATGAGCTCAAGCCACTCCTCCTCCCACTCTGCCCTTTTCTTTCCACATGGCCCACGCCAACAGTGCCTTGGAACTGGTGGAAGCTTTGACAGACAACGAAACAAGCCTCAGGGTTGAGACTTGCAGGGAATCAGCACAGAGGGGGGGGCGCTTCCACCTCATCCCCACTTCTCTGCTTGTTTGCGGGACATAGCCTCTGGATGAGCGAGTTCCCTCCGATTCTGCCTTTCCAGTCCCTGGCCAAGACTGCAGGACTGCAATCCCATTCCAGGCTTTACCGGACTCTTTCTGGTCCACCCCCTTCTCCACCCCACAGTTCTGGTCCCTGCCTCACCCAGGGTGGTCAGAACGTGTCTGAGCTCTGCTCCCATGACTTTGCCATTGCCCTCTTTGTCAAACACACGTAGCCCCTCCAGGTAGTCCTCATATGTGCCTTGGTCCCGGTTCTTGGCCACTGCTTGGAGCATAGGCAGGAACGTCTCAAAGTCCACGCGTCGGGACTTCAGCTCTGGAGATGAGAGAGAGGTGAGAGAGAGGTCACTGAGGTGAGGATCCAGTTGCGTCCATCCTGTCATAGTAGCGTCATCCCCCTCAGCATTCAGGATGTTTTCCTGCCCTGTGCTCGACAGCTTCTGAAGTCCTGAGATCCAGCCTGGCATCCTTACCCATCAGGGGAAAGTGCCACTGTGGGGAGCAGAGTGGCCAGGCGAATTCAAGGCCAGCCAAACAATTTAGTGATTCCTCATGTCTGCAGAAAAATTAAAAAGGGAGCGCTGGGGACCAGTGAAGTGTCAGGACACTCAAGACAAAGAGAAAACTGCTAATCCGTGGGTGGTGGCTCGCACCTTCTGCCGTCCCAGCATTCAGAGGTAGAGGAAGGCAGCGCTCTGTGAGTTTGAGGTCAGCCTGGTCTATATAGTTAGTCCCAGGACAACCTGGGCTGTTAGGGCTGCTGGGATAGAGCTGTAGATTCAAGGGCAGCAGATGCCAGTGTGGTCAAGGCCACCCTGAGTAACTTAGAACCTGTCTCAAAGAGTAAAAGAACAGGGCTATGGTTCAGTGATAAAGGGCTTGTCTGTCTTCCACAAGGCACTGGATTCAAATCCAGCGCCACATAAATTGGAGTAATCCCAGCATTCTGGTAGGTAGAAGTAGACAGGAGGTGAAGGATCAGAATTTAAAATCACTCTTGGCTAGGACAGAGACCCTGTCCTGGGGAAGGGGGGCACGAAAGAAAGCTACAGGCTGGAAATGGAGCTCTGTGGTGCTTGCTTCGGCAGCACAGGTACTTAAAGTGGAACAGTACCGAGCTTAGCCCGGCCCCGGGGCAAGGATGGCAGGCACATTCGTGAAGCATTCCATGTTAAAAAAGAAAGGGAAGGAGAAACCCTGTTTTGAAAAACAAAAAAAAGGGGGGCAGTGGTGATGCACGCCTTTAATTCCAGCACTCAAGAGGCAGAGGCAGGCAGATCTCTGTGAGTTCAAGGCCAGCCTGGTCTACAGAGGGAGTTCCAGGACCGCCAGGGCTACACAGAGAGACTCTGTCTCAAAAACACGAGAGAGAAAGAGAGAGAGAGAGAGAGAGAGAGAGAGAGAGAGAAGAAAGACAGGGAGCTTAGCGTCCCAGGGCAGAACCCATACAATCTCGAAGAAGAGGAAAACTGAGAACCCGCATATTCCAGAGTCCTTCTCACCATCGCTCTTGGGGTTCCCCAGGACCTTGAGCACCTCGGCGTTGGTAGGGTTCTGGCCCAGGGCCCTCATCAGGTCTCCACATTGGCTGTACAGGATCTTGCCATCACCTGTTCGGTCAAACAGCTCAAAGGCCTCCTTGAACTCTGAGGTGTGAGGAGAGGGTGAGAGATGGTGAGGGGCCCCATCATCTCCAGACAGAAGGGAGGTTTCGTCTGGACATCTTATGCTAGAGATGGGCAAGGCACTGTGTGCTGCAACTGGGCAGAACAAGGGAGGAAACCAGGACAAGAGTGGGAGGCTTCAAGGTCAGCGCTGCAGAGCAGAGACTCGGACCAGGGGCTTGGGACTAGACAATGGGGTTTAGGAAATGGCTTCTCCTCACCCTCCAGCTGGTCCTTGTTAAACTCGATCTGTAGGGGGGGGGGGTAAAAAAGAAGTGAGGAGAGGAGAGATCCTCTCTGGCTCGCCCACCCCACTGGCAGCCACTTCTGGGGAGGGGCCCAAAGGGATGAGGCTGAGAGCCCCGCCACTTTGGTCCCATCCCCGGCTCGGGCCTTGGGAGAATCCCAAGAGGAATTAAAGGGGGAGGGTTTCCTGGGAACAGGGCTAATCCCATGCCACCTGTTCCCCTCCCTCCACTGCCCTGAGTCCTACAGCCCTCACATAACTGGGGGCTGAACAAAGGCTAAATTTACCCCTGCCCCCAGCTGTGATTGTCTAACAAGCCTGTCCTCTTTAGTCTCCCCTCCTGAGGTTCAGAGACATGGTCTTTTGAGTTAAACAGCCAACCCCGGGGCAGACAGCCTCTCTCCCTTCACCTTGAAACTGGCCTGGGAACCCCCAATCTCCCTACGGTGCTCATTCATATTCCCACCCATTCCCTGATTTCCTGGGCTGGATGGCATCCTTGAACCTCCCTTTCCAAGCCACACTTTCCTGGGACTCACCACGACTTTGGAGAGATCGACAGGAGGCTCCTGGGTTTTTGCAGGGGCCTGGGGGGCAGCTGGCTCAGCCTTGGTCTTGGCTGGAGGGGTCCCTGCTGCAGACTTGGCAGCAGGCTTAGAGATGGGGGGCCCTGCTGGTTTCTTCACAGGAACATCCTTCTTGGGCGGCATGATGTCAGGTGGCCAAAGGACAGTGTGCCGATGGGGCACCCATCTCTGTTTAAATAGGCAGGGAGTCTGGGATGTCAAGGGGCGGGGGCAGGGACGGGGCAGGGAGCCAGTTGGCGGTGGCAAGGGTGAGGGACAGGAGAGTTATGCCTGTCTGCCTTCACTCCTCTGGCCTCCTGTAGCTCAGGACTCCAGTCCCAAAGTTTCCTCCCTCTGCCACTCCTCCCCCAAAGCAGACAAGAACATTGTTTCCTTTAAGGGTAGGGGGAAGAAACAGGAGACTTCTCAGATTTAACCTCCAGGGTGAGAACAGGGCGTTCGCCAGTGCTACTGAAAAGGGAGTGAAGGGAAGAGGGGGAGAGCCGGGGCAGTGGTCACGGGAGCCTTTAATCTCAGCGCTCAGGAGGCAGAGGCAGGCAGATCTCTGTGAGTTCGAGGCCAGCCTGGTCTACAAGAGCTAGTTCCAGGACAACCCGGGCTGTTAAACAGAGTAAACCCTGTCTAGAAAAAAAAATGCAACAAAAACCGCTGCATTAGCTTCAGACTGTAGACGACTCAAGCATTGGAGGTCTTGGGGATGGAGTGGGGAGCTGGCCAGTATAGGAACCTAGTAGGAAATTTTTAAATAAATTCTGAAAATTTTTAAATAAAGGAGAGTGTGTTTCCACTCTCTTCTGCCCATTCCCATAGTTTAATGATCATTAGAACATGTAGGTCCCTAGGCTACCCCCAACCTGGAGCCATGCACAGCAGCCGAAACATGGCTTTGCCCCGTCTTCTGCACCTGGTGCTGACTTAGGGGCGCAGGTGTAGACAAGGTTTAACATCTGCCACATATACCTCCCAAGAAAGAACGGTTTCTCACAAGGTACTGTTATTCAAATCAGACAAAAGGCTAGGGTGCCTGCGGAGCTTGGAGAGAACACACAGGAACACACACGAAGGGAGGGAGGGCTCTGGGAGACAAGGAGCCTAGATGCTCTATCCGAAAGATTACAGGATCCCGACTGGTCCATGGGTATTCCCATACCCACACCCCAAGCAGGAGCAGAATAAAAACCTGAGCTTGGCTCTCAGTCACAAACCCTACTGGAAGTCGGGGCAAAGGGGAGGGGTCGTGTTTGGGAACTAGGAGCAGGCTCTGGCTATTCTATTTTTGGAGAAAGAAGATTTAGGTAGCCTTCTGAGAGACCGGTCATTCCACTTAGGCCCTGGGGAGTGATAATGGGTCTGCCTTTGTAAAAGGGCGTCAGAATCTTTTTACTGAAAATTGTCCTATTTTTTTGGAAAATAAGAAATCCTTCTGCAGACAACACACCTGTTTCTCTTATTCACACTCCTAAACCTTAGAGAAAAGAAGGCCCACCCAACCGTGCAAAACTTACCTTGCCGGGTGCTAGGAAGGGGCGGGGGCGAGACGCAGGGCGGCTCTGGGCCCTGAAGGGTTAACTGCGGAGCATGCCGGGAGTCGTAGTCCGTGCGCGCTCCCTGGCTCACAGGAAACCTTTCTCCCGCGGTGAGAGGTGGCGGTGACTTCCGGCCCGCGGTGGCAGTTGGTGACTCAGGCTCCGCAGTATGCGCGGGTTCCGGAACTGAAAGGGTTTGAAGGTCCCCACCCACGACCTCTCGGCTGCGGGGTCCACGGACGCCCGCAAGCCTGGGGACGCCTGCAAGCCTGGGGGTGGGGCGGGGCGGAGGTTGCTTTCGCTTCCTCCCTGCGGTTGCTAAGAACCAAACCCGCGGAATTGTGTGGCTTGAAGCTGTAAAGTTTGAATTTTTTTTTTTTTTATTTTTACATTTGCTCTTAGGAAGCTGGTTCCTGAAATAAACGTTAAGATTTGCAGTTAAGCCGGGTCATGTGCCCCAGACGCTAGTGGTGAGGCCTCCCCGGTGCTCACAGATGCCCTGAAAATGCCGCGCTGGGCTCTGCAGCCTGGGCGCTCGCCCTTTCTCCCTGGCGGTTACTAAAGGTCTGGATGCAGAGGGAACTGGACCACTGTCCCGGGTCAGATGAGTAAATACTCTGGCGGGGTGCCCCATAGTAGAGCCTGTGAAAGCAAGTGGACCAGAAATAGCTCACGATAGAAAACTGCCAACGACACCGTAGGAATAATGAGGCTCGAGCCAACTTTGTGGCCAGAAACAAATACACTCTCCCTAGCTGGAGAAAGCTCCGAAGAGTAAAAAGGTCTGTACGGGTGCTGGGGATGGGTGCTCAGTTGATAAGAGTGTTTGCTTACCAAGCACAAAGCTCCGGGTCCCAGCACTCAGGAGGTGGAGGTTCAAGCCAGCCTGATCTACACGAGATCCTGTCTCAGAAAACAGAAAGGAGAGAAATACTTGATACAGGAAACAATATCCCTGGAGGCTGTGCATCTAAGACTGGGACCTGAAAAGGGAGTGGTCTCTCTGGTCCCATGAAATAACTCGTGATTAGACACGGTAACATTTTTCAAGTTTGTTTACTGAGGCAGGGTCTGACTATCTCGAGACTCACAGAGATCCACATGTCCCTCCCAAGTGCTGGGATTAATGGCCTGTGCCACCGTGTGCCCAAGGCTTTATTTTTAAGAGTGAACGTCGTTTTGCCTGCATGTATGTGTGTGCACCGTTGCATGCCTGATGCCTAGGAAGGTCCCAGACCGCATTGGATCCCTTGGAACTGAAGCAACAGAAAGTTCTACCCTGCAGGGTGGATATTGGGAATTGAACCCTAATCAAGTGCCCTTTTGATCCCCCCCCCCCCCCGAAACAGGGTTTTTCTGTGTTTTTCGCTTTGTAGAGCAGGCTTGCCTCAAACTCATGAGTTTCATCTGCCTCTGCCTCCCAAGTGCTGGAATTAAAGGCATGGCCACCACCCCAAGCAATCCAATGCTCCTAGCCACAGAGCCGTTTCTCTTGCCCCATAGTCACGCAATATTAAATCAGTAAAACAGAATGGAGTGGGGGCTGGAGAGATGGCTCAGTGGTTAAGAGCACTGACTGCTTTTCCAGAGGTCCTGAGTTCAATTCCCAGCAACCACATGGTGGCTCACAACCATCTGTGATGAGATCTGGTGCTCTCTTCTGGCACACAAGCATACTTGGAAGGAATGTTGTATACATAATAAATAAAATTTAAAAAAAAAGCAGAATGGAGTGTACATGCTCCAAACACGGCAAAGAAAATTCCCAACGTCAGCATGACTATTGGCCTCTTCTTGTTTGAGACAGTCTCATGTCACCCGATCCTGCCTTAACTCCTAAGACTCCTGCCTCTGCCTCTGGGTGCTGGAGGGCCTGAGCTGTGCCCCCATGCCCAACATCCCTTGTATCACATTTTTGAAGGGTTAATTGGTATAAAAAGATGGGAGAGGAAGAAGGAATGCATTAATCATAAGTAGTTACAAGACTCTTTAGAGAAAGGTCATGTTTGTAGACGCGTTAGCTCATAATTTGCACTGATTGATTCTTTTTTTAATATTTATTTATTATGTATACAATATTATGTCTGTGTGTATGTCTGCAGGCCAGAAGAGGGCACCAGACCCCATTACGGATGGTTGTGAGCCACCATGTGGTTGCTGGGAATTGAACTCAGGACCTTTGGAAGAGCAGGCAATGCTCTTAACCTCTGAGCCATCTCTCCAGCCCGCACTGGTTGATTCTTGAAAGTGTTTTTTAGTAGAGTCCAGAACCTCACCATGATTGTAGCCATGTATCACCATGCCCACTTTATTCTGATATTAGTCTCAATATAATTTAATACACACTTCCAAAGGATATTAAAAATCCAGCCAGGCAGTGATGGCTCACACCTTTAATCTCAGCACTAGGGAGGCAGAGGCAGGTGGATCATCTCTGGGGGATCAAGGTTAGTCTGGTCTACAGAGCAAGTTCCAGGACAGGCTCCAAAGCTACACAGAGAAACCCTGTCTCAAAAAAACAAAAACAAAAAAATCGAGAGCTTGAAATTTAGCTCAGTGGTAGAATCCGGGGGAGGTAGGAGCTAAGGAGAACAGCTCTCTTGGACTGGGGTTTCCCTAGCGTTCCTAAGGGTCAGCACTAGATAAAGTGGGCATGGTGGCACACACCGACAATCCTAGCATTCAAGAGGTGGAACTCAGAGAATTAAAAGTTTAGATTTAGCGTCAGCTCTGTAGTCTTAGTCCAGCCTGAGACACGGGAAGACCTTGTCTTAAACCAGAAAGAAAAATCAATGAAGTAGCCTTGGTGGTGGCTATGTGGGAGCCCGGTCTGGAGGGGTCTGGAGGTGGAGGAAGGACAAAGCACCGGAGGACTGCGGCCTGGGTAATGTAGAGAGACGCTATCCTTGAAGCAATGAAGCAACAGTACAGAAGGCTGGAGGCAGAGCGCTTGTCCGCACTGGTTCAGTCTCCATCACCCCGCAAAGAAAGACATTTTGTTTTGGGGAGAGATCTCGCGCAGCCCAACCTATACTCCTAGCTAGGTGGGTCGTCCAGCACGGCTTCTTTTTAAAAGGCCTCACTGGCTGGTCTGGACTCCCAGGGATCCACCTGTCTCCGCCTTCTGGGTGCCAGAAGGTCAGAGGTGTGTGCTTGACCTTGAGTGAGCTACCTCTCAACACGCGGAACCACAGCTTCCGGGCAAGTGCTCTACAACACTGATAGCCCTGAAAGGGAAGACGTTTTGGTAACTGCACAGCGGCCGTATCGTTTCAGAAACTTGGGTAATGGGTCCCCCATACAACTAGGTTTTTAAACACTAGGTGAACAATAGCTTAGGTGGGGGGAACACCTACTTTCTAAAGCAACAGAAAAAAAAAATTGTTAGCCAAGATAAGTGGGCTGGCTAATTTCTGTGTCAGCTTGCCACAAAGCCACAAACGCATCATCCGAGAGAAGGCAGCCTCAACTGAGAAAGTGCCTCCAGAAGATGGTGACCACGGGGGGGGGGGGGGGGGGGGGGGGGGAGGGGGGGGACGGGGACGACAGCCCATGGAGGGGCAGCTGTATCTGCCTCTACATACAGGGTCAGAGCGTCACCGACAGTGATAGCATCTGGGCTGGAAAAGCGCTGAGTGCTCAGAGCCCATTGTGAAGGGGTCTCACAACTGAACTTCAGATTGGGTTCTCTGAGGAGGACACACAGGTGCCCCCCCCCCCAGCCAAGAACCAATTATCCACTGCAGCCTCGCATTGGGGTGAAGGAAAAACACACATCATAGGCCTGAGTCCTCCCCACAAGGTCTCAAAGACAGTTCCTGCAACCCCACTGAAATCCCAAAATGATAAGACTAAACCTCAGCCAATTAGAAATAAGAGAATGTAACTGCTGCTTACTTAACCAGTTAGGGGTGTGATGACCTCACTGTTCCCGGAACAGCACTAGCTATGTTAAAAGGAGCCTGCGCTTCTCTCAGGGTCCCCTGCGTGCTGTAATGTTAAATGCTCTTTGCTCTCGCATACTGTTGAAGTGGGGGTCTTCATCGTCTCCTCGGACCCTACAGGTCTGTGGGAAAGACACAAACATAGGAGCAGTGCAGAACCGGAGGCCTGGCTTGTGAAGTTTCCGAGGGAAGCAAAGAAGCCGGCCTTCCCTGCGAGGCCTCTGCTGTCTGGCCAGCTGGGGCTGAAGGGTCAGCTGTGACTCATTGGGTCAAACTCTCCCGGGAAGTGTTTCCCCCGCGTTAGCGCACTGAATCTGTGGTCCAGAGGCAGCCAAGGTTGAGCCTCACGCCGGCCACTGAACTTGGTAGTGTTAAGAGTCACCCACTGATACCGCTTTGAAGGCATAAAGGGACCGCACAAGAGTCGCTGAGGTTTGACGCTGCTGCAGGCCTGGAGTCCCTGTAGAGAGCCCAGCAGAGCCTGTTGGTGAAAGTGCAGCCCAGTTGCAGGAGAGGACCCCAACGTTTGGAGATGCCAGTGCCAGGAATGACCACCAAGAACACAGCGGCAGTGGAGTGGAGCCAGCCTGAGGCCAGTTCAGACAGGCCATGTGTGCTGCAGAGGGCGGAGCCAGAGAAGTGACCCGAGCCCTTTGGAGGAGCGCGGATCGGGCATGAATTCCAGACACTGGACACTGTTTACACTGTTGGAATTTGGTTTTGCTTTGTTCAGATTGTGCTGTAAACTGCTTCTTCCTTCTTGATGTAAGAAAGTAACTTTGGGTGGGGGTGGGAGGACTTTGTGGAGCCCCGGCTGTCTTGAAACTGGCTCTGTAGACCAGAGCTGGCCTCAGACTCAGAGATCCGCCTGCCTCTGCCTCCGAGTGCTGGGATCAAAGGCGTGTGTCTCCACTGCTGGCCTTATTTTATTTTATTTTATTTTATTTTTTTGATTTTTCGAGACAGGGTTTCTCCGTAGCTTTTTGGTTCCTGTCCTGGAACTAGCTCTTGTAGACCAGGCTGGTCTTGAACTCACAGAGATCCGCCTGCCTCTGCCTCCCGAGTGCTGGGACTAAAGGCGTGCGCCACCACCGCCCGGCTCTGGCCTTAATTTTTATTTTACAGGAGCCCACAGTTAGATTTTGAACATTTTAAATATTCGAACTTTGGGCTTTTATATGTGAATTTGTGAAGATTTATTTATTTATTTATTTATTTATTTATTTATTTATTTATTTATTTATTTATTATGTATACAGTGTTCTGTCTGCATGTATGCCTGCAGGCCAGAAGAGGGCACCAGATCTCATTCTAGATGGTTGTGAGCCACCATGCGGTTGCTGGGAATTGAACTCAGGACCTCTGGAAAAGCAGCCAGTACTCTTAACCTCTGAGCCATCTCTCCAGCCCCCAGATTTATTTATTTTATATACAATGGTGCTTTGCCTGCATATATGTCTGTGTGAGGGTGCCAGGTCCCCTCGAACTGGAGCTATAGATAGTTGTGAGCTGCCATGTAGGTGCTGGGAATTGAACTCAGGTCCTCTGGAAGATCATCCAGTGCTCTTAACCACTGAGTCTTCTTCCCAGCCCTAGTGTTTGAATTTTTAAAGTCTATGGGACTTATAAATTTTGGGATGTTTTGCCGGGCAGTGGTGGCACATGCCTTTAATCCCAGCACTCAGGAGTCAGAGGCAGGTGGGTCTCTGAGTTCGAGACCAGCCTGGTCTACAGAGCTAGTTCCAGGACAGGTAGGGCTGTTACACAGAGAAACTGGTATCAAAAAAAAAAAAAAACCAAAACAAAACAATACGGGGGGGGGGGGGAGGAAAAAGGAAGTTTTATATTGTGAGGTTGATATTAATGTGTGAGCCTGGACATGAACAGGAAAGGAAAGGTTATGGCTTTAATAGTGATGTGTTTGTGTGTCAAGCTGACGAGGGGTCAGTTATCCTTGGTGGTCGGATGTCACCTGACACAGAC